CTTTAAAAACCGTGCACATCACGTCCTCGCCCTGTTTCCCCGAGTGGGCAAGGTCATTGCGCCTCAGGGGCACAATGTCATCGTGTCGGTGCATCTTGAGCGCGGTCGCGCGCTGTCCGTGCTCGGCTAGCCTTGCCAGTCGGCCGGTCCGTCAGGGGCACTACGGTGTGGGGCCGCTGCTGTTGCTCGCGCGACTGTGCGGCGCTGCCCCTATCTCGCGTGCAGTCGCGCTGCCAGCCCGCCGTACGTCGCGACGCAGCCGCTACCGCTGCCATCGCGTCATCCTTGCGCTTCGCCTCTGGCTAGTTGGATGCAGCGCGCACGTGGCCGTGCTTCCGTCGCCATGCCATTGATGGCACTGCGGCGCGCGGGCCACGCCGGTCGTGAACGAGCGCGCCTGTCTGCTAACGCTTGGAGGTGGGTCTCCATGGTCGCGCCAACCACATCTAGCCAAGGCGCCCATACGCCGAGCCACCGGTCGTACCCCACCGCCCTCTCTCTGTTTCTTATCTCTTTGCCGTCGTCGAGCCGCGCCCACGTGCGAGCCAGAGAGCGGTCACCTCTACTCAATTCTGCCTGTCTGCACCTTTGCCCTCCCGTCTTCTCGCCGTCCAACCCCACACAGCCATGATGACGCCCCAGCCAAGCGCCAATTTGGCACCTTTCCATCGGTGTGCCGTTAAGGCCACGCCTTGGCCATGATCGAGGGCAGACCTCCATTCCTCTACCCCGAGCCCAATTACTTGCGCCACTACATTCTCCTTGCTCTCCTCTTAGCCCTGCGCACCCCCAATCTAGTCGCTATCGCCTCTACTCCGCCACTGATGCGACCGTGCCACCGCGGTAAGCCGCCGCACGGTTCGGCCGCACGTGGCCGGCCTCCCTCCGTCGCGCTCCGCTCCAATCCTCACTTTGGCTTCGCTTATGGTAGTCCCTTGATGCTCTCACGGTAGCTGGTTCGGACCGTAGCAGCTCTAGTTCGTCGGGGCGGCTGCGCCACCGTCGCGACCGGCCATGCACCGCCGCAGCCATCTGCAGCTCGTCCCGCAGCCCCACGTCGCTGCTAGGTGTAGGTAGTGGAACCCTAGATGAGTGTCGGCCCAACCGACGAGCTGGAGTGGACCTCTGGTGGCCAGCGTAGCTTCTCCATTCCGCCGCTCGCCGCGCTGTCATGCGTGGGGTCACCGAGGGGTGTGCGCGGGAAAATTTCTAGAATTCTGGGGGGTTAAGCGAGAGTAGCTGTAAGTGATAGGAATAGTGATAGGACTCCGGTGCAGTTTGGGAAGAATTCAGGGTGCTGGCCGCAACAGTGCCTCGCGTGCGCTCTCTCTCTCTCTCTCTCGCGGGCCGGCCTGCGTTGCGTGGGCCGGGTCAGCGGGTCGCGTGTGCGCACGCGCGCTACACCGCGCGTGTGGGCCGCGCGGAGAGATTTGTTTTTTGTTTTCATAAGGAATTACAAATAGTTTTTAATTTAATTTCTAAGCTAATCTTTGGTAATTATATAAAATCATGTAGGTGTCCAAAAATTATGAAAAAAATTGTACTCTATCTGTTGGTGTATTTAGTTCATGTTTATATGTACTGACATTAGGGGCTATTAAATCAATTGAGGATGTTTAATAATAATAAGTTAATTATTGTAGGATTTTTTTGGTAAATTGGTGATAGCTTTAGTCCTAAAATTTTTATAGTAGCTTCATTGTATTATTATGTGCTCACTATAATTTTATGGCTTTAGAATAGACTAAGCATCAGGGTAGTTAAATGCTCTTTGTTTCAATATACATTAAATCATCAATAGAAATAAAGATATATCCTTCGTTTGTAAAGCTAGGTATTTGTTAGTTGAACCCAACACTTTGCTTCGTAAAGATGATAGTTAGCTTAGTAACTTGGTCATTAGAGCTAGCTTAGTAGCTTAGTATGCGTATTCTTAGTCTAAGAGTTGATGTTGCCTAAATGCTAAGTGTTGCATCATCATCGCATGTATGTAGAGAACGAGTTGGAGGAGATCATGACCACCGACGATCACGAGTTTGAGGAGATCGTCGAGGAGTATGAGGAGGAGATTCTCGTGCAGGAGGAGATCCCGGAGCCCCCGCTGACTGACTCAGCTGACACCGCGCCTGCCCAAGGCAAGCACCGGTGCATAACCCCTTATTTTTGATAATCACTGTTTATATATGTTATGTGTATTTACGTTACAGGAATTTTATGAAAACCACGTACATAGATATACCTGTCCTAAGAGTCTTACTAGTGCATGTTCGAGTAGCTGCTATGCTTATATTTTCGGTAGCGCGAGTAACCTGCCGTTACTCACAATAGGTGATTATTATTATTACTCTCATAATAAAATGATGAAAAGAAAATAGAGACCAGACAGGAATATGGTATGGATATTGGTGGGTGTAACAGGTTGTGTCCCGCGGCCAACACGGCTTACCTTGGTTACACTGTTTTTTCTGTTCGTGTCGATTAAGGACCGTCCGTTGCTGTGGATGGTAGTCAGGTCACAGACTTATTATCCTGAGCACATACTTGCTTATGGGAGCGGGAAGGCTCGTTACGCTCTTGTCATGGGTTCCGGCAATTTTTCGGACCGACTGATTGGAGGTGGGAAAAGGTGGAGGTCTAAGCACCATATTGAGCCGGGTCTTAAGTGTGGGGCTTGGAGTCCAAGTTTGGACGGGGACCTGGACCCTGTGACAGGAGTGGAATGGGTTGGTCTTGTTTGTGCCTGGGGTACAAACAGAACGTGCGTTTTGGGGTACCCAGCTGGGATACATTGGTTCGCGAATCGCCGTTTCTATGAGACGGTACGACTTGAATATGGTCTAGCACCGTAGTAAGAACTGGAAAATAAAAGATGGTGAAATGGTTCTGATTGCTTAACCCTTGCTTGAAAGTAGAACATGTGCTTACCTAGAATGGTTAGCTAATGAAGTAATCATAACTGCTAATAAAACTTGACCCTAAGGACGCACTATTAGTAATGCTCCTTCGCAAACAAAGGAAAACAATAAACCATATTGCCTATCATATCCTTTGGAGTCGAAAAATTATTTCCACTAGTCGGATAAGTCTTGCGAGTACATTGTGTACTCAGGGTTTATTTTACCCAAGTTGCAGGTGCAGCTTGAGGAGTAGCTCTTGTGTGGAGGATTCTTCTGGTGGACATAGACGAATTCTTGTATTTGTTTCCGCTAGATGTTTATTTTCATTCCGCTGTTTAATTATCGCACTCTGAACTCTGGTATTGTAATAATGATTTTCAAGAACTCTTGTTGTATGAAATGGACTAAGTATTGTAAGCTCGTACTCATTATTGGATCCCGGCGGTAAAACGTGGATTGTTCGAGTTCTCCTTTGGGGTGTGCTCGACGGAACTGTCCGATGTAGCTCACTTTCGAGGTGCTTAGTGTCTAGTGGAAGACGAGCGTCTCCGGAAGCGTGTTATTTTGGGCGGTTCTGCCACAGGCGACGCTCCTCGAGCTGCGCGGGCGAGGCGAGCCAGTGGTGCGGGCGCCGGTGCGGCCGAGGCCGGATCCGATGGCGGGGTGGCTTGATCCGGTGCCCGGGTGGCCAGATCCGGCGAGCGACGACGACGGACGCGCTCTTCTCCGACGACGGCATGGCGGATCCAGTTGGCGCGGGATCCAGACGGCGGATCCAGTTGGCGCGGGATCCAGACGGCAGAGGGCTCCCTCGGCGGCAGATCCAGACGGCGTTGCGGCAGATCCAGAAGGCGTGGGGGCGGATCCAGAGGGCTATCCCGGCTGCAGTGTGCAGGGGTGACGACGCGAGGCCCAGATCCAGGCCTGATTAGGGCTGGGCTGCGGCCTTTTTCTTTTTTGTTTTGTTTTTTTTATTTGATTAGTCGAGGCGGGCATTCAACTGCCTCGGCAAGAATTGGTTAACCGTGACCTTTGGGTCGAGAGTGTAAGTAGCGGACGACGCGTCGAGATCGATCGGCATGGAGGAACGTACGTGCGTGCACAGCAGCACAGGCCAGCAGTGCAGCAGACTGCTGCATGCACAGAGCGAGGTCGGTCGGCCCGGTCAGGTCCCCCAGCGCGGCAGCTATCGCCCATGGCATGGCAGGTATAATTTTTTAGACCATAGACCTCCGCCCTGCTTATATTGAAAGCAAACGAGTTTGCTGGGGATGCCAGCTTTACAAAGTGGCAACAACCATTCGGCATTACAGCAGATAGAAACGATACAGTACCAAGATAACAGGCAACTAGAAAAGGAAATATAGAAAAGCTAGCTTGTAGCCAAGAGACGTCCTTCACCACCCCCTGTTTAAACAAGCACCTCTAAGCCAAAATGTTTCCAGAAGCAATCGCAGACACCTCCTCCAGATCATCTCAGAACGCCGCAGTCACCATGCATTCAGACCTTCCTTCAGCTTCGCGATGATGTCCTCTTCAAGAGCTTCATCCACTGTGAGAGAAATCCCATGATCATGTGAGCAATAGGTTTTGGGGATCTGACTAAGACATCATTAAAAACCCAATTGTTCCTTGTCTTCCACAGACTCCAGGAAACACTGGCTAGAATGAAAAAGGATGACAAATTATTGCTATTGCCAGAACCAATCTCCATCATATCCTCAAAATGTTGGATAGATGTAGGTCTATTTAACCACCTCATACTAACTCTAACCCAAACCCAGATCACTTGAGCAATATTGCAGTTAAAAAAGAGATGATTTCTAGTTTCAAGTTTGCCACAGTATTTGCATTTCTCAGAGCCTTTGCCTTTCCTAATTTTAAACTGATCCCCAGTGAGGACCCTGTTGTGCGAAAGCATCCAGAGGAAGATTTTGACTTTCAAAGGAATCTTAGTCTGCCACAGTTCAGTCATTCTAGTATCCACCTCTCCAGAATTTTTGATCAGCCTGTAAATAGATTTTGTAGTGAACTTTCCTGAGGGGTTAGAGCCCATGAGACTTTATCTTCCTCTCCTGAAACCTCTATATCATCAAGAGCTTCTTAGAGATCATTCCACTCAGCCACCTCCTCATTTCCAAGCCTCCTCCTAAAATCAAGCTGCCAGTCCACCTCTTTAGCATCAGCCACTGACCAATCCAAATTCCTTCTGATTCTAAACAATCTTGGGAACAGAGTCTTGAGTGGACAATCTCCCATCCAAACATCATGCCAAAACCTAATCTTCCTACCATTGCCAAGTATCCATTTAGTCCCCCTTTCATACCATTCTCTGGCTTTGCCAAGCCCCTGCCAAAATTGAGAGCAACCCTTTTGCTTACTCTGACAGAAACTCTTGTCATTAAGATATTTCTTCCTCAGCACCTCTAGAGCCAAACTCTTCTCACCACTATCTAACTTAAAGATCCATTTGGCTAGCAAGGAAGTGTTCATTGCTCTAGTGCCAATAAAACCCAGCCCACCAAATTCCTTGGGGACGGCAAGTGCTTCCCACTTAACCATATGATATTTCTTTTTATTGCCAACACCTTCCCAAAAGAATCTGCCCCTTATTGAATCTATCTTCTTGTGTGTGCCTTCATGAAGCCATTAAAAACCCATACTGTACATGGGAATGCTTGATAGACTTTAATTGATCAAGATGGACCTCCCTCCCATGGCAGGTATAATGGCAGGAGAGAGAGTCGTCAGGTCGTCAGTGCCTACGAAGCTATAACGCCGAGTGTCGTTGTTGTTCCGATGAATGAAATGATGGATGGATCAACCTGCGTGAGCATGCAACCACCACCGTTAATGATTGAGCTTGAGTACCTAATCACGGCCTCATCCGATTCTAGCTAGCTAGGCAGCCTGCACGCACGGCATTCGGCACTCGGCACTCGGCAGGCACAGCACAGTAGTACCGCATTGCATGCCGTCGCAGGATCCGATCGAGATGTATGCCCTGTTGCGTAGCTGCCAAGGCGACGGCGATGTACGTGTGTGATATTATGATTTGATTTGCTACTCCAACTAACGCCAGCGAAGCCCACCGAACGCTCGAGATGATAATACTCATTAAAGAAAACTGTATCACAATCGTTTAACACACTTTTTACATACGAATGCTGAATGCAAAATACTCATATCACGAAGACACACTCCATGCTCCATGCAACTAAGTACTAACCAGAGATTGCTGTTCGCTTGGCACCTTAATGACACATTTCTTCCTTGATAACATTGTGGCGCCGGGCTCTAGCCACGTTAGCACCATGTCATCCCGCCACGCCATCTAGGCCTTGAGGACCATGCCCTACGGTGCCGAGACGTGTTACCTCGGCACCGTAGGCCACGGCACCGACATCAGGGTCCAAACAATAAATGTTTGAAAATTATCAAATACGACGCTTTTCCTTGTTAGCCATACGGACCAATAGATCGTTGTTGCACTCGTCAATAAAAAAGGATCTAAAAGTTTTTATCTCTCTTGTAGTCATAGGATACCAATTGTTAAACAAATTTTGGACATTGTGGGGTAGATTAAGAGCTAAAACCATTTCAATGGCCCTCCACGTGAACTTAGCATAAGTGCAATAAAAAGAAGAAGTGTTGAATTGTTTTCGACTCACTAAAAAAACAGCAAGTCGAAGCTCGATTCCAAATCCTCTTTGACAAATTATTCTTTGTGAGAATGCCCCCTTTTTTTGAAGAACCAAAGGAAGATTCAGAGATATCTTTTGTCTCCAAACTATTTGTAAAACTTTGATCCCATTATTACTGACAAGGAACTTATACATTGAATTAACCAAGAAGATATACCATTATATTCTTATGCAGGCTCCAAACAAACACATCCAGGCCATGTAGCAGATGTACATTGGCCACTTTAACAATTAGGCTATTTCAGTCTACTAGTTTGTTTCCCACTAATGCCCTCCTGAAAGTGACATTATTAAGTGGTGTTCTTGTGCAACCTTTATGTTGAGCAAAGTTGGATATTAGGTTTTTAGAGGCTGGTTACCCAACCAAATATCTTCCTAGCTACAACTGTTGAAGTGACTGTCTAGTCTAGTATTAGTTCACTATACTACATGGGACATGCCTAACACTGGCCTATAGGCTATAGGCACAGTTAAGCTATAGTACTAGAACAGAAGGATCGGAGAAGATTGCCAGAATATCTGATGAAGTGATGAAACCCGTACACGCGTCGACGTCGATGAGGTGACCGAAAGTCTGAAACAGAGGGCGCTATACATGCTACTCTGTTCATATCGCGGTCCTCCTCATGATCAGCGTGGACCAGCAACTTATAGCATGCATGCAGCGGTGGTTGCGTGATGGCAACGTGGAATTGGGGATTTCGCGCAGATGACGCGCACTAATAAGGCCTTTTTTAATTCTAGGGTGTAAAGTTGTAGTGTGTCATATCGAATATCACGTGGGGGTGTTGTATGGGGTATTCGGATACTAATAAAAAAACAAATTACAGAAACCGTCAGTAAACCGCGAGACGAATTTATTAAACCTAATTAATCCGTCATTAGCACATGCGTTACTGTAACACTTTACTGTCAAATCATGGACTAATTAGACTTAAAAGATTCGTCTCGCAAACTAGTCGTAATCTGTGCAATTAGTTATTTTTTAGTCTATATTTAATACTCTATGTATGTATCTAAAACATTCGATATGACAGGATGTAAAGTTTTGACGTGGAAACTAAACTAAGGGCTAAGTGCGTGACGACTGACGACCGAGCTCGATCGATCGATCGCTCTCCAACTAACTCCAACTGCTGAGTAAGTACGGGAGCTGCAGTGCACACGCACTGCACGTACCGGCCTATCGGTTTCGTTGTTTCCACATAATGCGTGCGTCGCCGTCGACGGCGGTTGCGTGGTCGCGAGTCGAGGTGCATGCTGCACTGCACGGACGTACGTACATGCCGGGGCCGGGAGGCCGGCCGGCCGTCGCGTCGTGGCACTCCACCGCGCGCCTACCGTACGTACCTCCCGTCCCGCGCGTGCATTCATTCTCCCGATCGGGAAGCGCACGTTGCTGCCGGATCGGAGTGGATCTCGCCCGGGCCCGGGCGGGCGTATCCATCCTCTCGGCTCGGGGACCGTACGTACCTCGACGGCGATGTTCCGGTACACCGGCCGGCTGGTACGTCGAGCATGCAGCGCGCGGCCGGCGGCGCTGATATCTACGTGCGTATCGTACGCATACACGAAACGGACGGACCAGGGGATCCATTGGAGCATGCAGCAGCAAAGTGGTGCGCCGTGCGCCAACGACGGACGATCCGCGGCTGAAGCCAAGCCGTGTGGACGCGTCGTCGCACGCAAGTGTGTGTGTGTGGGTGCCACACCTGTAGACTGTGGCGCGTGTGTGCGTGTACCAAGTTGTTCGCGATGGAGCCTGGATCGTACAAACGTTGGACGACACACAACCCATGTCGTCAAGGCAGGCAGCTGGGCCCAATCGCTAGTCGCTGGATCGATGGTGCTCGCCGTTGGCTGGGAAGTGCAGACACCGGGGTCGGAAGAGGACGAGGCCACACGGCTACTGCACACGCGCATGCATGCATGCATGCATGGGCACACATGTCGTCGGTGCGGCGGGTCTTTCCAGCTAGCTAGCCGAGCCCACCACCACAGGCTTTTGCATTGGGTGCTGATGGCACCGGCGCCGCGGATCGCGCGCCGACACGGGCACGCCCCTGCCGCCACCAGGTGTGGCGGTGGCGCATGCATGATGCATGCATGGCGCCGGCCGGTCCGTACGCGTACCACCACCAGGTGCGAATGCGAGGCGCGTCGGCCCATGCGTCTGCTGCTACTGAAGACTGAAAGTCCTGAACGGCCGGTCTGATGCGATTGCCCTTGCGATTCCAGTTCAGTGTGTGCTTCGCAGTGGATGGCTCGATCATGGATGATAGGAAGAGGACGTCGCAACGGTATGGTGGCCCTGACGGACTGACTGCGACTGTGAGTAGTGGTGCCACTGCACCCACTGGCGGCACAGGGACGAAGCTTTCCGCCACCTTCCTTGCCATCACGCCACCATCGCCCGAACGCCGCACGGCCTCTTCGCTTCCCTTCTCCCTGAGCTTCTCGTCCCGTCGTCCACAAGCTTCCAGTAGCTCGATCGGCCCTGTTCACGCACGCACCTCAGTAGCAGCAGCAAAGCAGAGCAGGGCCTTAATGAATGAAGCAGGAGTAATGAACTTGCTGCTGCAGTGAGCGCTGTAGGAGCAGAGACGGCCGGCGACGACGCACGGTCGATACATGCAGAGTAGTGCTCAGTCTGAGGATTGTTACTCCACTCCGCGCAGGCGAGCTTGCTTTACGGTTTTACGCCGCCGGCACGACTGGCGGCGACGCCGATGCCGATGCCGCCGCGTTGGTTCCTCGCAGCAGCCGTACGCCTACGTACTTCGGATGCTTCCGTCCGGATCGATCGGACGACGGACGGACGGACCGACGGATTGTGGAAATAAGTGGCCAAGATCCGCGATTTATTTGGTTTGTCGGAGCGCTGTCCGTGTCCTGGTACGTGCCGTGCGCGCCCCCGTGCGTGTGTGCGTGCACAGTGCAGGTAGGTCAGCCCCCGTCAGTGGTGGCGATGGCGACGCGGCATGCAGTGGCAGCGCCGGTGCAGCCGGCCGATCCCGATCGGCAGCAGCTGCCAGCTGCCAGCAGCCAGCAGGGTGAAATGGGGCCAGTACAGCTCCGTACAGAAGATGCCTGGATGGGCGGTTTAATTCAGATCACATGATTAATGGTCCATCACTCACCCCGTGGTAAACTAGGACTACTGTACTCCTATACTGCCGGTTAAATTACTGTTACTAGTAGTAGTAACTGGCAGTGAAAGAGGGTCACATGGAATGCATTGCGTGGACTCTACTGTCTCTCTCTGTCAGCCTGAAGGCGTGCCTTTTACAGAAGATTACGATACCATGTTCGTTTCGCTGAAATTTGGTTCATGCTGATGTTTATGCTGATTTGTTGTGAGAGAGAAACGTTATTCGTTCGCTGAAAAGTACTGCTGAAGTAGGATAAATCCGACCACGTCTTGGCCAGTTTACTAACCTCTTTCACGAATTAATGGACCCAGAGATAACATAATCTATCGATCGGTATGGTACGGTGGAAGGAAATGAGCGATGATCTGTGTGTAACTGTATCTCCCTTGGTGTTTTTCTCTGGGTGATGAGCCTCTGAGCAACACAGAGAACACCACCAGCGTTCTCTGCTAGTGCTAGCTGTCATGAGAACTTTGTCGGGATTTTATTTCGGTTCTTGCACGGCAGCAGCAGCTTGTACGCGTGCAATTGATTCCGACCCGACACTTGTGTTTATATATGGTGCACGTTGTGCATGTGATCCGGGGATGATGCGCGACAGCCCGCCCCCTCTGCTCTGCACTTGCTGCAGGGCGAGTAGTATTCTCTTCTATGCACTCTGACCCTTCCGGCCGGCCTCCCTTTACTCTGCGTGCGATAACTTTGTGGTTTCAGAGAGAGTGGTCCTTCAGAGCGCATTATTACTCCACCCATTATTTTCTGATGAGTACTTGTATATATGCTCCCTCGGTGTTGTAATTTGATTGTTCTAATAACTTTGTACCGAGTCAAATTTCTCTATGATCAGGTTTCAATCTTAGCATCCTGTTTGGTAGGAGAAGCTAAAACATGGCTTCAATACACAAGCCTGCCGAAACTGCTCAAGTCGGAGAAGTCACATTCCAATGGCTTCACTTGCCGCAAGTCAAAAACGGCTTCAGATCTCTAGTGCTTCATTGGAGAAGCCGTTTCTTACAGAGGTTTTTGGCAGGGCTTTACCTCGAGCTATAGAGAAGCTAAAGCTAAAATTGCTTGCTCAGAAGCCCTACTAAAAAGACCCTTCTACTTTACTCACTCTCTTGGGCTGAGACTTGTTATATATCCCGGGCCTCAAATTGGCTTGGGTATCTTATACAACTACCCAAGACCCTGCTGGTAACTAGTATTAGTACTCCTTAATGTTCGTCACTCATCCAGTGGTATCTTGTCTCGTTTAAAGCTATTGACTGGATGTACAGATTTACCCTCACTTTTGGTCGTAAAATATCTACACCATTTCAAACCCTAATCCTAATAGGTTATAGGTAGAGGACCGTGTTGTGCCTTAACCTTGTCTATTTTAGAGAGAGAGAAAACTGGTTGGCTTAAGAGAGCTGTTTTTCATGATTGCTCAAGAAAGCTGTTATTACATTGTGAATGCAATGTAATAACTCTGTACATTAGGGAACCTCCAGTGCTGCAGCGAACCATAGGGTTTGGAAGAAGTTTGGTTTCACAGCTTGAGCGTGGACATCGGTTTGTGGGGCTGGGGTCCATATAAGCAGAAAAAATATCTCTGATCTCTGTCCACTGGCGCGACCAGGGCAGCAGAGGCAACGTCTGCACAAGAAATATTATTGAACTCTCTCGGTTCGGCACATAGTATATGAGGTTCGATTTTGCTTCGGACAGCTACGGTTCGCTTCCTTCCATGTTTACGGTTTGATCAGCTCTTGGGTGGATTTCTTTACACAACACGTTCTTCTCCAATGTTGCCATCCGACCGGTCCTTTTCCTAGCAGTTGCATATGTAATGCACGAGTACCGAATATCTTATGAGAATGTTCCAGCGCTTTATCGATTTTGTTTTCAACATGACACGAGTAGTCCTTTTCCCCATGATCAAGCCATGCATGTGCTCGTAGATAGATACTAGATAGCACTACCGGAAAAACGTCCTTTGCCGAAATCCGAGATTTTTGCCGAGAGCAAAATTGCGGGCTCTCGGCAAAGAAAACGTTTGCCGAGCGCGGCTCTCGGCAAACACCGGCCGTCGGCAAGTGACAGGATTGCCGTGGGCCTGCATCTCGGCAAGCAACAGCTCTCGGCGAAGTGGGCCGTTTTGCCGAGAGCCGCGCTCGGCAAAAAATGCCCGTCGGCAAAACGGTCCTTTACCGTAGGCCGCGCTCTCGGCAAAATCAGGCTCTCGGCAAAACATTGCCGCGGGCCCATAGCCGTGACCTGCCCTGACGGCGTCACCGCTTTGCCGAGAGCCCCTCCAGTACTGCTCTAGGCAAAACTCTTTGCCGAGAGCCTCTCCCAGGCTCCCGGTAAATGTGGTTTCTATATTTCATGTGCATGTGTTTCTCTTCTCCTAACTCTCTCCAATTAAATTATTTTTTCTTTCATATGCTCTAAACTTTTTTCTCTATAGACATACTACAGGTTGTACTCAATATTAAAATTTTGTGTATTTTGTAATTATTTGCTATATATAATTAATTAATTGCATTTCAAGGAGTTTTTTTAATCGATTAAAATTTGAACAGCGATTGATTTAAACACGGGAAAAAATTAAGTAGAAAATGATATTCATGCTATTTATGCATTATTGAGGGCAAATAACATCTTGTTGACGTTTTTTTTTCACCTTTTATTTTACTTAATCAAGACCACGTGAACATATGTCGCCTAAACGATTTAAAAATTCTTAAAAAGGAAACGAAGTCGGAAAATTGTGATATTTGCATGAAGTCATGGTATCACACTTGGAGGCTGTGGTAAAAATTGAAAATGTTTCGCACAAGTGGTTGCGTATGATTCTTACAATCTGAGACATCTCCTAATAAGTTTCATAAAGTTCGAGAAGGATCCATTAGGATTTTCAAACAATGTCATGGTCGAATTAGTTTTGGAGTTCCAAACTTTTGTATAGCCATTAGAGAGCATAAGTTGTAACACGGCAAAATTTCGTATTTTTCCTGAGCCGCTTGTCGCTTTATTAATTTTTTTGGATATTATTTGCCGAGAGCTTCAGGGGATTGCTCTCGGCAAAGGCTCTTTGCCGAGAGCAACTAGGCCCTCTCTCGCGCGCAGATTTCTTTTTTTTACCTGGCCTGGATCAATGGTTTGCCGAGAGCGGGCTCTCGTGAAGAGGTTTGCCGAGAGCCGCTGCTCGGGAAAGATTTTTTTTTTTTAGAAATATCATTTTTTTTCAGTTTGCCGAGAGCTACTCTCGGCAAATAATAATTTTTTTAATATTTTTTTGTGCAGTTAGCTAGTTAAAAAATTCGAACGAAATTTGAAAAAAAAATTAACTTTACCGAGAGCCGGATCTGGGGCTCTCGGCAAAGAGGGAAAGTTTGCCGATAGCCTCCAAGATCGGCTCTCGGCAAAGTGGCTTCACCACTTAACCGCTTTCGCGCAGCCCCTAAGGTGAACTGAACCGCAGCCCACCACCTGCCCACGCCCACACCTGCCGCCGCTTCCGCCCCCGCCGCAGCCCGACCAGCCCGCCCCATCCGCCACGTCGTCCGCCCGCATGGCTGGCAGCAGCCGCGTCCCCGCCCTGATTTCGCCACGACGCGGCTAGCTGGCGTCGCGCTTCAGCGCCACGCTAACGACGCAGCATTCGTCCCGCCCATAGCGGAGAGGAGCGAGGAGGAGTGGCGCGCCGTCCTCTCCCCAAGCGATTCGCATCCTCCGCCAGAAGGGCACCGAGTCGATATTTTCTTCCTCACTCCTCCTTTTTCCCTAAGCGACTGCCGCTATGACGATTGATTTGTGGCTGAGCGTTGTTGTTCATCTGATCTACTCCCCGTGCCCATGGATCGATTCGATCCGATCGGATCCTGTTTGAGGTTCTTCGTATGTCAGGACCCATAGCCACCGGTTAGTTGAGATTACTGATTACTGATTTTTGAACCCGTCCTAGAGTTGCCGACGGAGGGATTCTACCTCCTCGTTCAGATTCTTGTTCGTCTAGTTCATCGAGGGTTGCGCCAAGTACTCTTGGACAAATCTAGAAGACTAGAACGATACTCTTTGGGACAGAGGGAGCATAAAAATAGAAAAGATAGGACAAATCAAACAAAACAGTTGTATTCCTTTGGTAGGCTTGACCTTGGTATGAGTTAGACCATTTTGATATTGCCCGCAGACAAGAACGTCTGCATCTTCTAACATATTCATTTTGTTATTTTCAGTTGTTGTTCCTAAATTGTGTCTTTCCTCCCTTGCTAGTTTCTGCAAACAACCATATTTCAGGAATCAGATAAGGTTACCAAACAAAAAATAATTTTGCAGGCACACTCACTTCTTTCTGGTCCAAACATTCTTGGTTCTGTAATCCTTTGATAGACTTGACATCCTCCGTACCAGTTGAGTTAATTTGATATTCACCACAAACACTCGTACCTGTATCGTCTGACATATTCCTTTTGTCATTTCCAGTTACAGCTTGTAGATCTTGTCTTTCATCCATTGCTACTTGCTGCAAACAACCAAATATCATGATTTAGATAAGCTGTGGTCTCAACAAAATTATAGCAATTAGAGAAGGTGATCAAGGCATATATTCTGCAGCCATGCTCACCATGTCCACGTCCAAAATTTCCTGGTTTTTAATTTCCCATGCAGCATGAGTTTCATCAACACAGCCTTTTCAAATATTTCAACATCAAAATCTAGGAGGCTAGTTTAGTCTCGGGACCAACCTTCTTTTGAGCAACAACTTACAGGACCACTCTCTAAACTTTTACCCTCAGTTCTCTGTAAAAGACATAAAATTGGAAGAAGATGTTTTCATGGGAAAGTGAAATGCAATTTGGATCGTATCTAGCCCCCATATCATTTCAGGAAGCTAAAAACTTTAATAATATTCAGAAATATGCATTTTCATCAATAAACATATTTCATCAACTTTCTGTGCGCCAGGAAAATAAGAAATAGTATAGCTGAAAATCATACTAATTCACTTACATACCCCACTCAACTGTGTATTCGTCATAGCTAGGTAGGAGTACACTGTTTTTGTTCCTGGCGCCCTATCATTTTCGTTTAGTTCTGTCTTTTTTTCTTTTACCGATGTGAATCAGAATGAATATGTTATATGAAGTGCAAGGTACGCATAGGGATCAACCTATATTGATCTAGTGTACCATGCATGCATCTGCAGACCTAGTAGTGGTATTAGTAGTGGTATTAGTAGTAGTTAGTAGTTAGTAGTTGTAGTAGTGGTATTAGTAGTGGTAGTAGTAGTTAGTGTAGTAGTAGTTGTAGTAGTTAGAGTAGTAGTAGTTGATAATTAAGCTGCACGTGGTTCCTTGATATATATGTGGTTGTCGGCCATCGTGCCGTGGTTTTCTTCGGTTTGGAAACCTCACCGTTCAGGGGAGATCTTTGCCAATTTTTGAGTTGACGTTATTTTGCTTCTTTCTTTCTTTTTGCAGAGAGCCGAGTCGGAGTACCCCGGTGTCCCTGTGTCTACCCACCACACCGCGCGCCGCCTCGCATCGCACCGACCCGCCATGGCCCCGCTTAGCCTTGACTTCACCGCCACCTAAGGTATAACCACTCTTTCTTTGTCCCGGTCATGTATCTCCACGTAACCCGGTTAGGTGTCTCTCCCGTTCGAAAGAGATACGGTTAGAAATATGCGATCTTTGCATATCAATAACCGTATCTGCTTTGAATTGTCCATGTTTTTGATAGCCCGAGATACGCAGATGGTGTTAGTTTCCATGGTTCGCTTCCGATCCGAGACGAGTTTCGATAGTACCTTCTGTTGTTCTTCTGATACACAATCTCCACAGCCGGGACGTGTATTTGGAGAACAATGGGGGGTGTCTTGCCAAAATTCTGTTTGATAGGACCGAACCATGGGAACTAACACCATCTACGATCCTCGGGTGGGATTATGACCTATCCTTACCTATTAGATGGTAGGAACGACGTGTAGATGCAAGTCCATGGTTATATTTATTACTTGGTGATATATATGTTAGAGGATGGATGACCGTGAGTGGATGTACTCGGCCACGAGCGCCCGTGAGATTACCGAGAATGGGTCGACAAGACCGAGGCTTTCATCAAGCAAGTATTTGACTAGGCTCCCGGCGCGCGTGCGTTTTTTGTCCCCTCGCATCAACCGTAAGAACGAGAAGAGGCGGACAAAGGAGGTGATGACTTCACATCCGGCTAGGCATGGATTTATGAAAACTATACCCAAGTGGACCCACCACGGTGAAGCCGATCGTGTGAGAGAGGGAGGTGGTGAGACCATGTGTCGAGGATTACAATGTTGATGCCGGGGTAGCAGCTTGGTTAGATGACTTTCACAAAGCACACTTCACCGACGGACGTGGCGGGAGGAGGAGGAGGAGGAGCGAGGCAAGCGCAAAGACGTATTATGACATGTTGTCTGCGGCGGAAACCCCTTCATGGCCACACACACGATTTCAAAGCTTGATGGCATTTCACGCTTAATGGCCTTAAAGTCCCATTTCAACCTCGGTCGAGAGAACTTTGATGAAATGTTGATGCTTTATTGGCTCCATCCTTCCGACCGGTCACCTTCGCGCCACGTAACATGTACGAATCGCGAGAAGGTCCTTCGTGCACTTAAGATGTCGTATGAGCGAGATACATGCTTGTTCAAGGGCTGCGTCCTCTTTAGAAAAGCACACGCGGATGCAAAGTACTGTCCAAAGTGTAAATCCTCTAGGTATCTGGAGGTAGACTCTGGTGATGGTGAGAAGAGGTAGAGTCCGTACCCCATGAAAATCCTACGGTACCTTCCATTCATACCGAGGATCCAACGGCTATTCATGACAGAGGAGTCCGCGAAACAGATGATATGGCACAAAAATGGAAAAAGATACAGTCCTGAGAAGATGGTACATCCAGCCGATGGTGAAGCATGGCATCACTTTGATAACATTCATCGTAACAAAAGTGGGGAGGCACGTAATGTGCGTGTTGCACTGGCAACAGATGGGTTCAATCCTTATGGAATGATGGCTGCCCCATACACTTGTTGGCCCGTGTTTGTTATCCCTCTCAATCTCCCCCCTGGCGTCTCCTTCCAACGACAGAATGTGTTCTTGTCGTTGATAATTCCATAACACCCTGGGAATAACATGGGTGTGTTCATGGAGCCTTTGTTCGATGAATTGGTCCATGCTTGGGACCATGGTGTATGGACATACGATCGAGCTACAAAGACAAACTTCAACATGCATGTTTGGTATCAATACTCCATGCATGACTTCCTAGCATATGGGATATTCAGCGCTTGGTGTGTTCACGGGAAGTTTTCATGCCCCTTGTGCAAGGCAGCTCTGCGGTTCAATTGGCTGCAGAAGGGCGGCAAATATTCCGTGTTCGACAAACATCGACAATTCCTCCCTGCTGAGCATCCATTCAGACGAGACATCAAGAACTTTACTAAAGGTGTCATGGTTACAGACCCCGCACCACAGATGATGACCGGTGCCGAGGTTCATGATCAGATAGATGCTCTCCGGATCAATGAAAAAGATGGTAGGTTCGTGGGATATGGTGAGGAGCATATGTGGACTCATAAGTCGCCCTTGATGATGCTCCCCTATTATAACGACCTTCTTCTTCCACACAACATTGATGTAATACACATCGAGAAGAATGTTGCTGAGGCACTTTGGGCAACGATCATGGACATTAAGGATAAGACGAAGGACAATGTAAAGGCGAGACTGGACCTGTCAACGATATGTGATAGACCAAAGCAACACATGCAACCTCCTAGAAGCAACAAGAAATGGACAAGGCCTAAGGCCGATTACAGATTGAAACTAGAACAAAAGAGAGAAGTATTAGAATGGTTCAAAACATTAATGTTCCCTGATGGGTATGCAGCGAATCTGAGGAGGGGAGTGAACTTATCTACCTTGCGAATCAACAGACTGAAGAGTCATGGCTATCACATATGGATTGAGCGTCTTCTTCTGGCGATGCTCCGAGGCTATGTCCCTGAGCATGTGTGGAAGACGCTAGCCGAGTTGAGCTATTTCTTCCGCCAGCTTTGTGCCAAGGAGTTATCTCGTAGCGTGGTTGCAGAATTGGAAAAAATAGCACCTGTGTTGCTCTGTAAGCTGGAGATGATCTTTCCACCCGGCTTCTTCAACCCGATGCAGCATTTGATTCTGCACCTCCCGTATGAGGCATGAATGGGGGGGCCTGTGCAGGCCCGTTGGTGCTATCCAATCGAGAGATGTCTAAAGGTTCTTCGGAAGAAATGCAGAAACAAATGCAAAATCGAGGCTTTCATGGCGGAGGCATTCATTCTAGAGGAGGTTACTAACTTCACACAAGCATACTATGGTGACAAGCTTCCTAGCATGCATAATCGACCCCCTCGTTACAATGCTGGTGAAAATGAATCAAAACTCAGCATTTTCCAAGGGCAACTTGGAAGTGCGAGTGATGCGACCTCATTGTTGTTGAAAAACGAAGAGTGGCTCACAATCATTATATATGTGTTCACCAATCTTACCGAAATGGAGCCGTACATGCAGTAAGTGGCTTCTTGCACGAACTTGTTAATTAAATATGCCGTCAACATTCTGCATCCAACCTCCTTGTTTCTCGTTGTTACAGGGAGTTTATTAATGAGAACTGGCATCTATCAAGGGAACCTACCCCGCAAGAACGTGACACCATTCTTCATCAGGGTGCGGGAAATAGAATCTCCGATTTTATTTCTTGGTTCAAACAAAAGGTACTATGCAATTTAGCTCGTTCGCCGATTGACATTCCCAGTTGCTTGTACATTCCAATTTAACGATCTATCCTCCTTGACCTTGCAGAGCCAAACCGATTTGACTATGAATCCAGAGTTGAGACAGGTTGCCAATGGCTTTGAACATAGGGTCAAGTCATTTTCTGGTTATGATGTGAATGGATACCGATTTCACACAACAAGACACGAGCAAAGCCGGCCCAATCAAAGAACCACGAATTCCGGAGTTTTTACTGGCGGCCTTGATGGGGCCAAGTATTATGGAAGAATTGAAGAAATATACGAACTTAGGTTTCATGGTCGCAAACCTCTTAACCTTGTCGTATTCAAATGCCATTGGTTTGATCCTCAAGAAACGAGACGAAGTCATTCCCTTGGACTAGTAGAAATTCGACATGATTCCGTCTATGGTGGAAAGGATGTCTATATTGTGGCTCAACAGGCCACACAAGTTTATTATCTCCCCTACTCATGCCAAAGGGACCCTCGTCTTCAGGGTTGGGATATTGTGCACAAGGTATCGCCGCACGGTAAAGCACCTTCCCCAAACGCCGAAGACTACAACTTCGACCCAAACACATATGATGGAGAGTTCTATCAAGAAGAGGGCCTACAAGGGACTTTTGAGATTGACTTAACCGGAGCTATGGAAATGGAAGTAGACAATGAAATGGATGTTGATGTGGATGAGGGGGATGAGGTGGAAAATGCGAAGGACTTGGCATTACTTGAAGGATTACATATTGGCAATGGCAATGATGACATAGTTGCTCCTTTGGAAAGTGTTGAACATTTCGACATGGCTGATAGTGATGATGAGAGCTATGATCCAGCTAATCCCGATGGGGATGATTATTTCTAATACATGTAATATTATGTTATTTTTTTAATTATGCTTTATTTATTTTGCATCTCTTAATAATAATGTCTTGTTTATGATCCATCTAATCCGATCTTATTGTTTATGTCTTGTAGGTGATTGTGCAAAGATGGCGGGCCGCAGAGCTTTCTGGGCGGTCGAGTCGCTTTTTACATGGGGGCAGACACCAAGGCCCTCTGTGTCGGTGAAGGGGGTCGGCACCACCTCGGGGAGGAGGAGGAGGTGGCGGGAGGAGGCCTAGGGCGCCACCGCCTCGGCCTGCAGCAGCAGCAGCAGCACTAGAGCCCAAGGAGGAGCGGAAGGAAGAGCAGGTGGACGAGCGAGGCTCAAGAGAGGACGAGGCCGCAGC